TCCTGCGCTTTGCAGTGTCRCTATAAAAATACCAAATAACATGCAGTAACGGGAGGCATTATTACTTCTAAAACCAGCTCAAATAATTTTATGACGTGAATGAATTCAGTCCTTCAGGAAGTTACACATATACAAATTACATGTTAACGGCATAGTAGTAGAAAAGCTACATATATAAAAACTGGACAGTACTGCAGTGGGATGTCATCTACGATGTTGGCTGTCTGGAGATCAKGTTTCAATACAGCCAGCTCTAGTGAAACCACAAAGCTCTATTTCAAAACACGRGCAGGGCCAAAATGGTACCAAGTGTGAGGCAGTGCTCAGACTTGGAATCATCTCTCTCAACACCACAGTCTAAATAATGCATTGCCACTAGGGCAGAATCAGGCCCTAGAACCATTGCCAAAACCAAGCTTCCTTGCACTGCAGGGGAAGATATGGAAGCCTGAGTCTCTCCTGAGCCCTGCCTTACCTATGTTGGGGGCAGATATACTGTATCTATGTGTGTGTGTCTGTGTGTCTGTGTGTGTGTATATATATATATATATATATATATATATAACTATACACACACCCTATATACATATATATATACACACACACGTCCCATCTCCCAAAAGTGAGCTATTTACATTGCACTTGCCCCTGTATTCACCATTTCTCACGCTCAGAGAAGACCCACCTGAAGTCAACTCCCAGCAACATGTGACCATGGGCACAGAAATCAGCATTCTTGCCAAATTCTTGAATCCTTGCCAAAGAATCAAATATTACAGATAGACTGAATGATGCTGATGGTCTCCAGAGGCAATGTAGAAGTCACAAGGGTGAAAAGATTTTGACAATTCTTACCATACTGATGGAAACGTCATTTTTTTCCCTGCCATTTTTGGTTCATTCACCAAAATGAACATATTTAACAATTCCTCCAGTAGCATTTTAGTTTGTTAAGGACCAAGAGCCAGGTAAGGCTGTGAGTATGGGTTAATAAATGGACCAAAAACATGTAGCATTAAATAATTTCGTCGGGACCACAGGTAGAGGAGAGGAACTCCAAGGGACCCATAAAAGGTGGGCAAAATGGCAGAGAGCGCTCAGAGCTGACACATGCAAGAGCTTGCACTTTGGAAGGAAATCTGAAGTGCTCCCCACTGCCTGATTAGCTGATGTGTTGCAGTTGTGGCCATCACATTGATCATAAATTCCTCCCTGTTAACTTGTGCTTCTCCTGTCTCTTGTATCATCCCGCTGTCTCTTTGTCTTAGTTCAAGACTGAAAGCTCCCTCGGGACGGAGGCCGTCTTTGCATCTACTRCAATCCAAACAGTTACAGTCATTGCTGGATACTAAATAATGTGACAGCTGAGAAAATTTTCATTCCGTTTTTCTTAGCCAGTACGTACTGAGAAGTTGGTTTCGCTAAAAACAGTTGGAAACATTTTAAAAATTTAAAAGATTATAATGGCACCTTCAAATACTTAARCAGGAGACAGGATTAGCAGCAAGCACAGCAGTATGCGCAGGGACTGCTCTGCTCGCAAACCTGAGCRTTCTAGAAGGCTCCCAGAACAAGAAATACTGCTCAGGAGACTCCTCCTGTTTACCCACACTCACAAGCTAACAAGGAAACAACTGAACAGCAGCAAGATCGACTAATGAAAGAATTTCTTTCTACACAACATATAATCTATAGAATACATGCTCATTATATATGAGCATAACATACACCCAAAATCAAAATTCRCCACAATTTCTGTGTTTGCATCTGGAAATGCTGTGAATAAACACATTTAAGAAAATAAGCACTGAACAAATCTSCCCTTCTCTCTCCCTCCTAATAAAATGTCTGATTTTTTTTCTTACCAAAAATAAAAAAACCACTTAATTGTTAGTTATGAATGATGCCTTTTAGCACGGTATTTGGCCTCACATTCTCCTGTCAGGCAGGTTCCTCTTTGGACTATATTTTCAATGAATTATCAAGGTCCCTGCTCTTGATGTTCAAACTTCATGATGCATCACAGCTGCGCAATCACAGTTCACCACAGAAGATGAATTGTGAAACAAGGACCCCGACCTGCAGGGGCTTTGGGAATCTGAGCTTCTCCAACAGCACTTAAAAAAATCAAACCCATTGATGTTCACAGGTAAGGGGCAGGGGTACTGTCCTTTGCTTGATGCAGAAAGCATACAACCAAGTCGCAATCCARCTTTTAATTAAAAGCACTTAGAATTTCAGCTAGGATTTTCAGCAGTTACCCAGTTAGGTATTTCACTAGGCAATGAGAACTGATAAAGCTTTGCATGCCTGTAAAGCTTATCTAATTTTGCCAGATATGCTTGCTGATATATGAAAAGACCAAGAAAACTTTGATGTCTCATACCATGACAGGTACAACAATGATAAGATACTAGACTTCATTGGAGAAAAAACAATCTCCCCTGCTTAGTTGTGGGAAAAACAAAAACAAAAACAAAAAATTTTGAGGCTGCTTGATACCAGTAACAGCAGAGGCCCTATATGTGATATTTTCAACCTCAGAAACCTGGATTTACTTATTCGAGCAGTGTCTGTGCTCTTGCATTCAAAAGCTCAGCAGCATTTCCTCTGTCTAAACTTGCAGCAATCTGAGAGAGAAGCAGCTTCCAGGGTAACTGTTATTCTCCTCTCTCCGTCTTTTGCTCTTGCCTTTTTTAATTACATTCAGGATGTTTTCTTATTGATCTACTTGTCTTTGTATTTAGATGCAGGGATTAGAATTTTTTCTTATATTGCAATTCACTTTTCCATTAAAGGCAGCCGCTCATGCGGCCCCCCTTGGCCCAGGGGACCCAAGCAGAATCTTTTGATGCATGAGGCAGCAGAGATGAGATGATATTTGGAGCCCGCAGTGCACCCTGCTCTGTCCAAGCATCCTTTGAAGCAGTGGTGTGTGAGTCACTGCTCTCTGCCACAAAGGCCCCTCCTCTCTTGTGGACGCAACTCCGCTCGCCAAGTGTTCAGAAGGGACRTCACACACGCTGCCCTATTGCTCACGTGAGCAGAGACCTCAGCAGCAGGAAGGTGCACCAGGCCCAGAAAATACAAAGGAAAATAAAAATCACCTCAAAAATCTGCATAGTCTTTTGAGCATTGCTCAACAGCTGCATTCAATTTGTGACCTAGCAGCTCCTGGGGCTCAAGGATGACTTTTAAGGAGTTCGTAAAAAGTAACCAAGGAAAGCAAAGCTATTGCCAAAATGCTCAAGTTAGCTCTGCAAAGACAGATCATCCTTTCGAAAATTTCAGSGGCTCAAAAATTAAAGTAAAATGTTGAAAAGTATTCATTTAAATAATGCAGACACTCAAAGGCCTTGATGTGCAAATTGGACACAAAATCCTAAGAAAAGGAGTCAATTCCTCATGACTTATTGCTTCTGATCAGTGTCTTTTGCATTTCTACAACACCCTTCCCAAAAAAACTGAAAGCTATTCCTTAAGGTCCCACACTCTCCTCTAAAATACAACACAGTTTAATCTTGAATTCTGGAAAGCCTAAGGTTCGAGAGCCCCGCAGCCCTATCCACAACCACTTACTTGAGTAGGTGACCCCTTTCCTCAAAAACCTTAAAGAGAACCCAGGAGTCTGGACTCCRTGACCCGAGTGGCCTCGGGCCCCCATGCTGGTCCCCATTTCACTTGCAGAAGAGAGATCAYTGTGCAAGAGCAGACTGAATCGTTGACATGTTTGCCCAGATGAACAACCAGGGGCTGCACTCAGTTGTGCTGACCACGACCTGCGTCTTTGTCGCTCTGGGGAGACTCCCAAGGGCTGCGGCTGCTGCCTCTGCGCAGAGCCCAGGTGCTGCTGTGATCCCAGGAACAGGCAGGGATCTGCCTGCTTGCTGCCTTATTTATGCAGAGCAGATTGCTCAGCAATTATGTTTAAAGTACAATCACAGTGTCATTTGTACTTGTTAGGTAAAGAGGCAAAAGTTTTTAAGGCTTAAATACCTTGAAAAGTATCGGTTAAGTGGAAATGACTGCTCTCTCTTATTAGCTGCATGGTTATTTATACTTTTGCACATTACGGTGGTACAGTGCAATTAGGCTTTGAAGTTACTCTGCAAATTGGGAAGTTTCATGAGCTCTTCTCAACAATTAACCCTTAATGCATTAACTGGCTCCTGCTGCCTGGAAATAACTGCACAGTGCACGCTCCAAGGCTCCTCCAAACAGGGGCTTCTAAATTAACTCCAAATATAAACCACCTGCCAAGGAGCTACCCACACCCAGATCCAGGGTTACACTGCGTTGACAGCCCCCYCAATTACTGCTTCTACAGGCTGCGCAACATGCTCAGTACAGCAGCTGAAAGTGCTGCTCTGACACACACCCCTTCTTTTTGTCCTGCAGGCAAGGGCATGCCACCATGTGAGCCCACCTGCATGARGCAGGGCAGGCACCAAGCACCTCATCGTGGTGCCCTTCACCGGTTGGAAGCTATGGACCTTTCAGCCCCATCACAGCCCAGGTTCTTACCCATGTTGCAGCTCCCCCAGGGCTCCAGATAGCAAATGGTTCCAGGCATCTCCACTACAGTCCATACAGGTAGARTCCCCAGCTAAGATCATGTACTGTATCAGACACGAACTCAGACACTGTTCAGTTTGCCACCTGTAGAGGCTGTTGTCATTGCCAGCCTCACAGCAGAGGTTCAGAGCAACGTATGGATGCACTTGAGGACGCTCGAAGTTGAAAGAGAAGTAAACCAAGCTCCTCTGCATGCCAACCTGGCAGGTTGACATTAAGCAACTCGCTCCTTTGCAGACCCACCTCATTAAGCACCATGTCCTTAATCACATGCCCTTTCCCCAAAATCAGCTTCACAGCTTATCCCAGCTTCCCTCCCAGCTCCTCCCCGATCAACTCACTCCATTTCCCTCTTGCCCTCCCTCCAGCTTCATGCAAGGTACAGCCACCCTCCACACGGGCTGGGTTCTCCCCAGGCCACTCACCTCCACAGCGAGCTCTCCGTGACACTCCCCAGGTTGAAGTCATAGAGCTTTGTCAGAATGAGAATCACCTGGGGGAAGGGAGGGAGGAAGAGAAAGGGGAAAGAAAGAGAAAAGTTTTCTTTTAGAATAGGTAACAGTACACCAGGCATCTACAATCACCGAAAGGAGAGCTTAGTATTTATCCATTAAAGTTAGGGTATTATAGGATTATGTAGGTTTAAAAAAATAAAATAAAATCATTAGCTTAATGCACCATGTAATTAGTAACATTTATTTTAATCCTTGGGATGCTGTGCATGTGAAATAAAACATGCCAACAGGAATTAATTGAACACTGTGAGCTGCCTTCTCTACATCTGTGGTTATTTAAGGATAGGGATAAAACTAGACTGACAACAGGTACTTCACAGTTTGGAGAGAAGATGGGTGCAAATGAGATGTCACCCAATGGCTTGGCTTCAGTTAGTTTTCCTATGCAAGTCAGATCTCTCCCAGTACAAATACCCTTCTGATCCCTCCAGAGCAATGGGACTCGTCACACCTTTCATTTGGGCTGGTGAGGAGTTTAAAGTCTTGCAGAAGGGGAAAAATGCCAAAGGATTAATCAATATCACAACTCCGAGGCTGCRGCACTCGGTTACTGTCAGCACAATACCGGGAAGAGACCTCTTCAAATCGTAAGGGACCTTGGTACGTGACTACGCAGCCAATACCCAACTTAACGGCTTTGGAACAGCCGCTCTGAGCATCTTCTCTTTACCCAATTCCCTTTCCCTCTCCCTTGACTGCATTTTGTCCCCTTATTTCCCCATGCGGAGAACTTTAGGTAGAAGATAAAAGCTAAGCAGCTTCCAGCGGGGTGTGAAAGGGAGCCCGCCAGGCAGATCCGAGTCAGCGCATGCAAGCCCATGTCGGATTAAACCAGTGCTGTGCAGCTGGGAATTAAGGGCAATACCATTTTTATTGCAACTTAAACTCTGCATACACTTTCTATACGCAAGGGGAAAGACTAAATGCTAATGGCAGCTACCAAGGTTTGTGTGCTCTGCCTCCCCTTACAGCAGTGGATGGAAGCAATGCAGCCTCCAGCAGAAACCAGGCAAGAGTGATGTTTTTAAGCTGCTCTCTATGTTCCTGCAGAKACTCAGACAGGACCCACTAGAGAGGGTATGACAGCCCCTTACCAGCCTCTCCAAAGCACAAACACAAGCACAGCACTTTGCCCCATGACTCATAACTCTCCGGAGGCCTCACTAGGTTAATTTTCCCATCTGGGACCTAAACTCTTAGAACCCAAAGGGAAGACTTGGAGTTCTGCAGATCCTGGGCCTGACCCTAACCATTAAATCAAGTTTTGCATCCTGGTTATATTCCAACAGAATAATTCTACCCTATGTTGCAATTGCAATAGGAGGCAGCACCCGTATTCTCCCAGCTCTATCTTTGAAAACATCGTTTAGCTCTTGCAAACCTTGAAAGCCACAGGATAACACCAGCTTTGCAAGAGCGTGTTGAATCCTATTCAAGTCCTGGCTGTAAATTCAAAGTAAAAGCATAGTGTTTAGTAGAGCTTTTCTGGATTTTCATCCAGGATGACCAGCGAAAATCCAGGCCTGCTTACTGTTAATGCATGGAAGCATTAACAGCACAAGCATCCCTTTGCAGATAAACCTCCCAGAGGGCAGCAGGAAACAGCACGAGCTGCCAGAGGGGCAATACGTGGTACCACCACCCACAACAGGCTGGCCACAGAGCCTCTCATTGTGGACACTGCGCTAAGGGGGACATTTGCCCCACAAGCCCACGTGGCTTCTGCCCTGTCTTTGAGACGAGACCCTTCAGACTCACCAAAGGTCACGTCTGCCATAGTTTGGGGGTCTGAAAACCAGAAAGGATGGGAGAGGCTTAACACTCAGGCTGCCCAAGGAGAGCTACAAAAGCATATTCCCTGCTAACACTGCCTCAGGAGGCTACAAGAGCAACTTCAACTGCTAAAGAAATGTCACATCTGAAAGCCCTAATGACAACATGGATTGTCCTCTGGACGCTGAGGTGCAGAGGAAACTTCAGGGCGTTTCTGGGGGCTGTTCTTAGGCCTCCACATCGTGGTGTCCCTAAGACAGCACTAGAAGCAGGGTTATCAGGCCTATGTGGGCAAGTACCAGATCTAAGAGATATTCTGCTATTTAATACTTTCATTGAAACAGAATGGAAAAAAAAACCTCTAAAGAAAAATAGTCATTAGCCAACTTTGGCAAAACTAAATCAGGTCAAAAGAAAAAAAAAATTAAAGAGAGAATAAAAACACTCATTGATTCATGCTGAGCCGTTTGATTCTGTTTGCTATTTTGTAGCTGAAGAAACTTAGCTTGTCTTTGTCAATACTAACAAATAACTGTGGCTTTTCAGTGTCAAAGTCATTTTGCAATAAAATCCTAAAGTTCTTCCCAACAAAAAAGTGGATCAATTGAAAATTGAAGATTTCACCTTTTTTTCCCACACTATTTCAAAACAAAAATAAGTATTTTCTTCCCTCAACCAAGAAAAATCTAGACTTGCAATCCCATAGGAAATGCCTGCTCTTCACCCTAAATCAAGATGAAAAGATCTGAAGGGGAGCAGGGGTAGGAAAAGAGCTCCCAGTGATATTGATTCAGAAACAGCAGAAAATTTCACTTAGGCATTTTTTAAAACAGTCCCAAATGAAACTGCTTTGTTCCTGTTCATCACACTTATCCTCAAAATTAATTTCAAGTCAACTCAATGCTGAACTGCATTTTTCTCTGGGATCATATTGCTCACTCCAGAGAACACAGCTCAGGTGTGAAATTCCCCCATTTCTCTGCAGACCATCCCAGTGCTTTTCCCGGACACCCTCGCGTCAGGTGTCCCCCAGGGAGCCACACAGCTCAGCTGGCTGAGAACCAAGGAAAGGCAGGACCAGCCCGAAGGAACGAGCAGGGAAATAGGTCAGGCTGAATTACAACTCCCTTAAGGCAACACAAACCCTCTGGAAAAAAAGCAATTTAAAGCTGAGCTTACACAAAAGTAAATGACCTGAAAATTCAATAAACTGTTTTGRTTTTCAAGGCAGATGTGGGCATGGGGGAAGAAGAGTCAGAAAAATTATTTTTTTCTTTAGAAAGAAGTGACATTCCAGTCCTGCAAAGATTTCCTCGTACACTTTATTTTACACATATGTCTCCCCAGAGCCTGTATGTATTTGTTTGGAAGAAATTACACTATCTGCTGAACAACCAGTTATAAGGTCTACATGACAAAAAAGCCACCCCCTGACAATTATTCATCCTCTGTGGCTCCTACTATAATATAGTTGAAGACTCTCTGGCGCTGGCGATTCCCTCTATCCTCCCGAACCACCATATCCACATCTAGCACAAGGTGCCTCTTGCCTACACAAAGGCCAATAGGTTTCAAATCAATCCTCAATTCCAACCCTCAATTCTTGACATGACTTCCCTTATGTGAAAGCAGAGGCACCCCAGTTTTGCTCCCCATGGAAAACACATCCCTAAAGGAACTCCTATTGTTTGGAGGACTATCRGGGACCTCCAAACCTATAAATCATGAAAGGGCTCAGAAGCCCTTGGGAGTATTTGGTAGCATAAGGATGTTCTATCATCATAAAATTTTACTATAAAGAAAAATTATTTAGTTCATTAATTCCTCCCCCAGATCTTGCCTTCCAAACTGGTTAAATGCTTTGCATGTAGCTCACAGAAGATACACAGCCCTTTGCTCCCTGATGTTTAGAGTGTGAAGGTGTGATGAAGCCATGCGGTGCCTTTGGCAGGTTGAGAGTGAATTCAGAGCACGAACCAAGGGCCAAGTCGGAGGCAGCTGTGCTGCTGTACTGGGGGATGCACTTATCAAAGCAGAGAGAGAGCGGGGCTGCACATGGAGAGGAGAGGAGATCACTTATGGGGGACATYTGAAGGGCCAGCACTGGTCCACTTAGAGAGACTCATCTCCCTTCTACATGATCGTGCCCTGTCTATCAGCACAGAGATTAATGCAAATCATCAGCAGCCTTGTCCACATCTTCACAGAGTGCAACTGCTCATGGGCAGAGGGAGAGCACCGTGCAGCACATGTGCAGCACAGCAAGAGGCTGCAGGCAGATCTACATGTGGAAAATGAGAGCTCTCCRCTAGGCTGCTCTGACACCTGGGGTCAGGGCCTCCTCTTCCAACTTACAGACCCATTTCCGCAGTGCCTMCAACCTCTCCTCCCATCACGCTGCAAAGGAAGCCAAAGAAGCTTGTCTGCAAATTCTAACCCCTCCTTGCCCAATTCCTATGGAAGTAACAGCCCCCAGCAAGTAAATTACAAATGTGAGCACACACAGGCTCGCTGGGAGCCAGTCTCACTGATCTGCTCACAGCTGAAGGCAAATTGGTTTAAAATGCTCTGGGGCCCAAACACCAGCAGCACTGCTCTGGCAATGTCCCTAGCTGCTTCCTTCTCTCATCTTTGAAAGACTCAAAGTTAATAATCAAAGGTGAAATGATAAAAAACTAACCAAGTCGAGCAGAGTTTACCCAATAGGATAAACAAGTTTACCCAAGAGGGTGGTAACTAAGTCAAGAAAAAGTGACCAACACCATCTTTCACTACCTAAATGGTCACAACACGAGAAGTGGCTCATTTACATGGTCAATGTATATTCGTGTTTATGAGGTTTCCTTGACCAAGGTCCAACTCTTCTCAAAAACTGTTACTACATAACCTTGGCCCCACAGAAAAACTATTCCCCACGTCAATGTACATTGCATATTGCATTGTACCTGCACGTCTCTGCATATGTATGTGTGTCTACCCACACACAAACATATCTATGTATAAAGACATATACATTCTATACAGCACCACCATCCCTATTTGCATGGAGATCTGGGAGCAGTTGCCAATATCTAACACTGCTGCCTGCAGGTGACGTACAGCCTTAGCACAAAGCTCCCATGTGAGCGATTCAGCTCCACAGACACTAACAGATTCAGTGAGCATCACCACTACGAGAAAAGGCAAACAACGTCCCCTTCGTTTTCCTGCTGAGGAACAAGAGGCAAAGAGCAATTATGCACTTGGGAAGAAGAATCAGAATAGATTTGTTAGAGTCGGGTTCAATTCACTTTGCAAGTAACACAGGGAAACCACTTTAAAGTTCACTTCACTTCCGAGAAAGAATCTCCATCTGAGAGTCCAAYAGAAATGAAATAACCCACTTCAACACAATAACCCAGTAATACTGTGAATTTAAGCTAAYGGGCATCTCCTGGGAGACAAATCCACAATCTTGATTCGCCCACAGTAACAGAGTGACCAGCAAAGGAAGACACGTGCCTTAAATACCAGTACACCTTCTCTCCAGCTTGGTCAACCTAGCTGAAGAAACTTGCATTTCCAGACAATTCCAGCTGAGGAATTGCACATCCTAAGACATGTGAAAGAAGCAACTGATGTACTAACAACAAATAGAGGACAATTCCTGCCCACTGAAAATCAGGGTGACAAGTGAAGAGCGAGGAGATGCCAGCTTCAGCAGAAGAAAAAGACCTGACTCTGGAGAGGAAAACGATCTGCAAGTGGCTTCAGGCAGTGCTGGCTACAGAACGCTCTGAAATTGGAAGAGACAAGTCCTGAGATCACACACAAAAGCAAAATACATTTAAGTGAACTTGTGATCTCTAGTCTGCTGTGGCTGTCAAATTTGTCCTCAAAATAAAAACTAATAACTAAAAGAAAGATGTTCTCCTTTAATCCTCCCTTGCCTGTGTTGTTTTTCACTTTTCAGTAAAAGAAGCTGCCATAGTATGATCTTTCCTCCCTTTGCAGCCTCYCTTTTCATGTAAATCAAGCAGTGGAATAAGCATTCAGTGCCGGAGCCAGAGCCAGGAGAGCCTATCCCTGGAGTCCCCTGGGATGCTGCAGACAGATCGCATTATCTTCACAGAGGATCCCTCTGGAGAGGAGCAGAACTTTGAAAATCCCGTTTATAGGGTTTGGAGTGAACGAACAGTCTGCTCAAGAAATAATGTTTCTGTGCTTTGAAGAAGGAATCAGCTGTGGGAAGCATAAATCCCTCCTCCGGGTGGTTACCCAGTACGAGAGCAGAGCGCTGCTCCTCCCGGCTGCTCCCTGGCCCCAGTAATTTTAGGGCAAGACCAGCATCAAGGAAAAGCACCTAATGGTACCAGCACCAAGAGGGAACCCTGTCCCAATGTCCAGGTTTATCTTTCTGTAACCACAAAGAATGTTGAGATGAAGGATTTTGACTGGAGCCTAGCAGTTCTCTTGTACTTTTGCTTTTAAGTTTTTCTGGTGCAGTGACTGTCACAGGCAGGCTGTGTCCCAAGGTACATTGTGCACAGAAGCCCATGGCATGGTTTGGCCTGCAGGCAATTAACACCACCAGMAAAGCAACAATTAATGCACTCATGAGGGGAACCTGACTGCAAAATTTTCATCATGTGAAAAGAAGTCAGATTCTTCTGCTCCCGAAGCGCAGGGTCCAGCTATCCCTCAAGAAGAGGGCGATTTCCAGAGCCCCAGCAGTAGAGGCTCTGCAGCTGCACCAGGCTGCAGGAGCAGGTCCCTGCCGCACAGAACAGAGCCCGCTTGGCAGGACGGGCGTTCTGGGTGGCGCACGTTACCAGCTGGATTGCACTGGCTTGTGTGTCTATTCTGCTCTGACCAGGCTCAACTCCCCTCTGCCTTTAGGAGGCACATGCCTATGTAGAAGCTTCCGAACATTTAGGGTCAGTTCCTGCTGCAAAGATCTTTCAGACAGAAAGATGAACCTCCTCCCCATCCCATCCCCACCTACCTCCCACTTTCTCTGCTCAGCCAAGAGTTAAAGAAACTAGTGCTGAGAGCCATTTTGATTATATTTTTAGTCTCATTTCCTAGGGAGAGAAGGCTTATAGAAAACACATTTCATATTTCATCTGTTCCTTCCTCTATGAATAATTTTACAACCAGCTGACCAATGTCAAACAGTCYTAACAGACTAACAGCAGCCTGGATATTCACTTTCCACAACTTTCATAGGTTGTAGGAAGAGATGCCCAGGGAATCCATGCAGAAGCAGAGCAATGGGAAATGCTCTCAACAGCCCAGCTCCAGGAAACGCGCCAGCTGGAGCAGGTACCTTTTCCAAGCCCTGTGAGTGCAATATAGCTCCACAGCAAAGCCAGCACCTTTCATCTTGCATGTGCATCATACAGCAGCCCCATATACACGCCTGTTCCCAGCTCACTGGGAAAAACTCCCTCCCTCTCAATCTTCACAGACGCCAGCACCTTGATTCCAGAAGTCTCCGTGAAGAGACCTCCATGTCTAACCAACTTCCAATTCTTCTAGGAAATCCCTGCACAGACGCTTTGCAAGGCAAGTCCTTCACACTCAGAACCTCAGCTCAGGACGCAGCTACAGTTGYAGAGGTCAGGACAAGGCCAGGTCTGCTGGGCAAATGAATCGAGAGTCAAAACATGACAGTCAAAACCACCACGAGGAGCACCAGAGAAGGCAATAGCTCATGTCCTCCTGCTGGTGAGTTGTKCACTGCAATTTGGGAATCTCCCAGAAAAAGTAAGAATCAGCAGGAAAGCTCTACAAGCTTTTTCCTTGCTCTGGCCTGCGAGAAGGCATTTGTACAAGTATGAAGTAAAACAGCATCAGCAAGACTTCTAGAAGAAAGAGACATCCAAACTTTCTTAAGAAGAGGGGAAAAAAAAAAAAAGGTAACTCATGCTTAAGTTTCAACAAAYACCTCCTCCCTAACCTGCATGCTTAACATTTAGCATGCGCACACAAACAYGTACCCATGATCACTTTCTTAAAATCTTCTTCCTAAAAAAATAAAAAATAAAGGCCTCCAGCATGTTTGTCACTTCTTAGAGAGCAGCTGGGTTCTGTCCTAAAGGCAGCAGCAGCAGAGCTTTAAACATAGCTACCAGGTCAGTTTGCAAAGCCTTTATCCTCTTTGCAGGGGAAAAAAAAACACTCCATAAAAGCTAGATATTATTAGAATTATTAGCAATGCAGCATCAGGAGAGAGTCTCTGGGAAAGGCACAGCGAATTAATCACCATTTTAATGCCAGCAATAAAACACAGGACACATTTAAGATGAATCCCACACTCCTGTGAAGAACCACACTGGGGAGGGAGCGGGGGGAGAAGGTGCCAGCAGCACTCACAGTTTGCAAGTGGCACTAACCACAGAAACCAGAGCTGGAGAAGACCTGCCTGCGGGCTACGTGACCCGCACCTCTGGCAGGGCACAGCTGTGCTCCATAGAGCATTCCCCAGCTCTCTGCGCAACTGTGCTGCACATAAACACACATTCCCACTAGAAAAGACA